AAGCTATCTAGTGAATAAAACGATCAAGTTTGCATAGAAAAAAAATTGTTCTGTAACATTTAATTTATCTTTATTTGTTAAAACTAAACAATTCATTCTCTGTTATTTTATAATGATAAAGATGTAATCTATAAAGAAACAAAAAAGGTAAATTAACCTTTGGATTTTGTGATTGTAATGAAAATGATAATTTCATTCAAGTTATTTATTTTGCTTATCATAAATCTAAAGAAATTTAATAGAATTTGAACTGAACACACAGATATATAATCTAAACTTGATCTCATTTCGATTGGTAGAGATAGTAAATGTAATTTCATAATAGATACACTTCGAATATGAAATTTTATCATACTATTTTTCAACATAATTCAATTTTGATGACAATACATAAAACTCTTGAAAAATTATATTAGAGAATCAATTGCATTTTGCTGCTTCAATCTCTTCTAATAATCGATTCAAATACAAATACATATGTATCAAAATTTTTTCAGAAAAAGTTTAATGTATGAAATGCTATACAACTTGAGATCAATATTTTATATGAATTAAATCATTTATATTTTAGACAAAGAAATACTTAGAATTTATTATTGTTGAATGTAAGATATATGTTAATTATGTTTTTATTTGTATTTACAGTATTGAGTAGAAGATAATGAATATTTAGAATAAATAAAGATAAAATATTTTTCAAAATATATTCAAAGTTAATACTTTGTGTGATATTTTCGACAACATAAAAAACAAATATTAAAAAAAAAAAAAGAATAATAAAACATGAATTTCAATGAATTGATTGTTTTATTTAATAATTCTTTTAATTTTAAGTAGTTTAATTATTTTTGAGATTGTCAAGTTGGTACTTGATTAAGTTCTAATGCAGATGGTGATATTTTTTTCTTTGGATAACACTTTATAATCCAAATAACAATTGCAGTAATTGAACTCAAAACAATAGGAATAACAACAGCCAAAACAATAATATAAATATTATTGGATTCTGTAGATTGATTATCAGAAGTTGATGTAGTGATTGTTGTTAATATTACCGGAGAATTACTATTTGTAACATATGTAACAAGTTCAGTTGATGCCATCGAATTGTTCAGGCTAATGATTGTAAACTGAAATGAACGTTGGAGATAAAATTTATATTCCATAAAAATGATAGAGTCAAAATAACATATGATCAACGTTCCTTAAAAAACTATAGAATATGTTGTAAATAACCATCTCAGATACAGTTTTTAAGTCTTTACTATAGTTGATTATAAATGTGACTCACTGACATAAAAACACAAATGATTAAAACATAGTTTTAGATCACGAAATGACACATTTCATAAAAGTTATTCAGGAAATTCTATTTGCATACGTAAATAAATGAAAGTTGACAATATTCTTTTCTCTATTATATTATTCATTGATGTTGTATGCCACAAAATTGTGTATTAAAATAAGTGTTGAAAAATTTCACTTTTTAATGATAGTTGAGAATTAGTAAGTGCTATTCTCAACGAGATTTCTTTTTGTATACATTATTATTAGATTGAAAAGTAATTTTGCCTGCAACAATCTATATTCTAAAACGGATATTTTATTATCATAGTGATATTTTGAAATAATTAAAAGTTCTTTAAGAGTTTAGCTATTTCGTTATAATTATCTAAACATTTATTATTGTCAATGCTATAGTCAAAGATTCGAGTGAATTGAAACTCATTCTTGTCATGATCTGACTCAATTGTGTTTTCAACTGGAAACATTTTTATCGAAAAAAATTACTTTAACAAAATGTAATTTACTTTTGAAAACAGCATTCTACGTATTTGGAAAAAGTTCGAAAGAAAACTATTCTATAATCTGTTATTATAGTTGAAACTACTAGCGAGTTTATTTCAAATTTAGACTTTTATAAATCGTTCGATTCATATATATTACTTCAGTCGATTGTTCAATTGTGCTTGTAATTTTTGTCGATACAGTAGATGCTTTTGCTGTGCTGTATAATAGCAAGAAATAAGGAAGTCTAAATTATAAAAATGAAAATAAACTTTTAATTTTACCTGGTTTTTATTTCAACATCAGTTGTCATTGTTACTATTGATTCTGTTAATGTAGTTGTTATATTTTGAGTTACGGATTCATCAACTATAATAAAGTTTATTGGTAAAGACTATTCATTCGAAGTATGTTCATGCGTACAACAACTTCCTTGATGAATTGATATTTCATCAACTGCAATTGTGGTCATAGGTGTAGCGGGTCCAGATGTTTTTTCAAAATCAAAATAAATCTAATAATAACAATAACCAGATACAAAAATTCTAATACATTCTTCAAATGAATAGGTTACTTTATATCCAGGTGTTATAGTAGTGAAATCCACCTGGCGTTTTATCCATCCATTCAATGGACTACTTGTCACAGTGTCAATTATTTCCATGCTACTTCCTGTTTCTTCTTTACGTATCTTGATGTTATGTTGTGTTCCATCTATATTTCGTAAGTAATAATAGTATGTCAGACATTGCCGGTTGGTACCATTAAGATTCCCCCAACGATTATTCAAAGTGAAAGAGGCTGATCTCGGAGCAAAGAAATTGAAATGACCAAATTTACCTAGAATATTTATTTGTATAAAGATTCAGAATATCTGACGAGAAAGTATAAGCTTAAAAGCGGTTAATTATTGCAGACGGTATCCTTGTAAGGAGAATACTTTCAACATTGTTGAGATTTACCTGGTGTACATGTAGTATTTGGATTGCTTTGTGTTGGACAATAACCTTCGTTACAAAAATACATGTTCCATGTATAATTATATACTTTGTATGGTAATATGCATAGTTCTCCATTGCTTGTTGACGTGACTGAGAAGATAGAAGGTAAAATATTGGCATGATAAAGAAGCAATATTGAATCTTACGACTTGATGTTACATCAGATAGAGGTAAAGTAGGGGGTTGAATACTAGCAAAGCCCATTTTCTCATCAATGAGCATTCCTTCGAATCCTAATGGAGACAGGCAGTTATTAGTGAAGGTAGCATTATCATAATTACATTTATAAAATATTTGTGCAGAAGTTATTATTATGCAACTAAATACTAAATGCAAATGTATGGAAACATAATGTAACAAGCATTACTAGAAGTCTTAGTAAAACAAGAAATACCTATCAACCACTGCATCCTATCAAATTCTTTCTAAGACATGTAAATTTTATCAGTTTTATCTTTGCCATTCTTTATATTTAAGAATAAACGAGAACATTACCTTAAAACACGATAAATAAAACTATTTTTTTTTCTTGTGTGTGTGTGTGTGTTTTTTTGTAGTCTAGACAAATAAACATTTTGATAATTTTCAAAAAAGTTTATTAGAATAATTTATTTATCGTATCAATCTTCTTTATTTCAGTTCGTCTGAAATCAAAAATTTTATTAATGTGAATAAATTTGAAATGTTAGAATTCATCATTATTCGAACATCATCTTGAAATAGAATTCTTTGTGTTAGATAATAAAAAGAAGTATTTATTAATTCGACCCTCGTGATATATTATCTTCGAGTTACTTTTTGAAAATGACACAAGAGAATAAATTTGATATTGTAATATCTCAATTTAATGTGAGCATTTGATTTAATCAATAAGATTTATCCTGAAACTATTTGAAAATAACTTTCAAATATTAATAAATGTTGTCAATCGTATTAGTTGATGATTACTATTATAACTGAAAGCAGAAACAATAAATATACGTTATACAAAGGATAATGTTCGTCATGCCTCGATAATGACATTGAATATCAATAAATAAATGTGATAATAAAAACATGAAACAATACATATATATGAAAAATTATTTTGTTCTTGCTGCATCTCACTAATTTCTGAACATATACTCACATACGATGAATACTTTTTGAATAGATCTTAGATTTGATTTATATATTAATAAAGAAAAACATTAAGGGACACTAAACCCAATGGAAGAAAAATAATTATTGATTCTATTAGTCAACATCGAAATCATAATGATGATATCATTGAAAACTGAAAAGACATATAATAAAGAATTTGTAACATGTTTTCATATTGTTCAATCGCTTTTTAGCCGAAACCTACTGGATTATAAGCAATTGATCATCTAGATTTCAACTATCAATATTCTATGTACATCTAGGCTTGCGAAGATCTTATTTTCTTAAAAATGAATTTTGTATAATGAAAAGTTTTCTGTAGTCAAAAAATCCTTTTTTTGCGTTTCTAGTTTGTAGAGTGCTTCGAGCTAAGTATAAATAGCTATTGTATCCAAAATTAGAATCATAATAGAAAACGTTAGAGAAGTGAAGATTTGCAGTGCCTGATCTTCTAGGGCATGAGTGCGGGAGAGATTTTTATTTCACACTTCTTCCCACCCACAGTCATAAAATCCAAATTGCAGAATCCTTTCAAAACAAGAGTATTTTTACTTCGAACCACTTAACTATTGCATTATGCGCTCACTATTAAATTTCATAAATAGCTATCTTAAAGATATGAAATATGAGTGAATGTTTGTATTGAAGCTTTTTCTGTACTGACACTAACACCAAACTTAGTGCCTGATTGGATTTATTGAAGTAACGCTTGTGCAATAATTTATCAGCGTCGTATTATTTATTAGAATCATCAGCGAGCTGTTGTAAACGTTCTTAATAATAATAATAATACTGCATTCATGATGTTTTATTGATAATAATTTTTTTTAACATGTTGTCTTAATTCAGTAAGAATTATTGAATGAGCAACCAACAATTGATAACATATTTGACTTATGTCATTTATTTCATCATCGAATCAAAATATTGACAACGCATCATTTTCAAATAATTACCAATAGTTTCTCTAATCTTTTTATATCGGTTCATAACATTGTCATCATATTAACTATTTTTACAGGCATATTTTAAGTGGCAGATACATTTCGTTATACCATTATTTAGTATCGAAATTTATGTATCAGTACATTTAAAATCGAAAGGACGATTACATTTCAAGAAGAGTTATCAATCAATGCTATTCAAAACAAAGCCTACATGTCTAGCTAGGCACAACTTTTTAACAGATATCAATATGAATACTTCATGTTATCTTTCTTCCGAGATGAAGGTAACAAAAGATTATTGAACCGAATATCGTATTTATCAAAACGGAAAAGAAATAAAAAGAGCTATTCATAACACAATAGATATGTTCCATCAACAATCCTTTCGATTAACATAATAGAAATATCTGTCTTGTTTTTTTTTTTGAATAACTGTCAAAATCAACTAAACGTTCTATATACCACTGTGTTCTATAATCTATTGTAGAAACAATATAAATTTTCATTTATTCTGTTGATAATAATGGAAATAGATCATAAAAAGTAAGTGAGAATAAATGTTCCTATTACATAGTATTGTTTACTATTCGTTAAGTATCATTTTAAATTCTTGTTAACACGTATGCAGTGTTACCATGTTTATTATATTTTTCAAAGTATTATTCTCTCTCGAATTATCATTCTCTTTTACAAAACATCTTATCTTGTTTACAGTTTTTAGACTTCTCTTTATTATTTATATTAGTTACGAGTGATGTAAATATTCATTCTTCAAATAATACAAATATCTTTTGATATTGTTATTAATATTATCAAAATATCTATTATACTGGATTTTAAAAATCCTATTATGTAAATATGCATATAAAGCATATTTGTTATTGTTATTTTTTTCCACCATGTTGACAATATACAGAAAACAAAACTCAGATGAAATAATATATTCATGAAGAAATATAGAATAAAATAATAAAGATAAATACTTTACAAAGAAGAATGTCAAATAAATATATTTGTGCATCTGTGGAAATAAAATAGTTTAACATTAGATGAAATTTCAAAAATAGAATGTGTGAAATTTACAACAATAAGAAGAAGAAGAAAAAAAACAACATGAAATATAATTATCATTTTGGTTTTTTGGTTCGTTAAATATAAAGAAAGAAGAGAATTGAACCGGTCAATGATTAATTCATATTCATGCTTACTGTATTAAATGGGCGGATGAGACATTAATATCACATAAACGAATATAGTTTCAAAAAAAAAAAAAAAAATCTTTCATCGATTATTAACTGGTGTAACATTTCCACAAGCTGACTCATTACGACATGATGATGTTGGTGTTGGTGTTGGAGTATTATTATTATTATTATTTGGATTAGTAAATCTTGCATACATCATTTGAGCAATACGATTGACTTCAACTATATCTGGACGTTTTTCAGGATCTAATACAAGACATTTTGATATTAGAAGACGTAACTAACAAAATAAAATATAAAAATAAAATTGTTTTTCAATTGAAAAACAAACTTCAGATGAATAAAAATTCGTTGGTAATGGTGTATAATCAAGTGCTTCAATTTTTTGACGTAATAATATAAGATTTAAATTTTCTCCATAAAATGGAGAACGAAGTGCTGCCATCTAAAAGAATATTTATTAGAAATAGTTTTTGTTATTTGAATAAATATTTTACTTCATATAAAATACAACCAAGAGACCAAATATCAGATCGAAAATCATAACCAAGATCATGTTCATGAATACGTTCAGGTGACATATAATATCTATTTTTATTTATATTATGTAGAAATTGTTTTTAGAAAAAAAAACTAATAACTTACGGTGTACCAACCATTGAATGTGCTGATGTTGTTTTTGAACCAAAAAAACGACCTAATTTTTATTTTAAATCATTAAAATAAAATAAATTGAAAAAAAACAAATAGACTAACCTAATCCAAGATCACCAAGACGAACAATTCCTTCAGCACTCACAAAAATATTTGCTGGTTTAATATCTATTATGTAATATATATAAATTACTTAGATTGTAACATAAGTAATATCGGATGTATTTCAATGTCTTATGTAAAAACTTTCTCTCTATATCAATTGATAATAAAAATGATGCCCTATCTTTCTACATTTATTACATAAATTCTTCAACTAATATCATAATAAGAAAATTTCGATAAGAATTATTTATTATGATATGTGACAAAATATTGAATGATATTTTTCTTCGAAATCTATTCTTTTTGTTTCTTCCTTGTTCTCTCTATGATACCTAAGCCGTTTCTAATAATAGAACATATATTTATAAAAATGTCTCTAATTATCTTGAATTGTAAACTATAACAATAATACTACATCTACTTAATTCTTCGGATTTAACACCATATGATTTTTGGTAATTCAACAAAATCTAAGCGATCAAAATGATTCAGAATTGATTCATCGTGCTGTAAACAACTTCATGAGTTCCTTATATAAAAAATAAATAAAAGAAAATGTTTTATACCTCTATGCATGATTCTTTTTGAATGCATATGTTCTAAACCACTACAAATTTGACTAAAAAATTTCCATATTGTTTTTTCAGGCATTAATTTATTTGATCGAAGAAAATGTTTTATCATTTTAGCTAAATCACCTGCACTTGCTAATTCCTATATGAAGAAAAAAAAATTTTTTGTTTTTTTTTATTAATAATCAAATTTTTTAATAAATAATTAAATACCAAAACAATGTACAAATCATTTTCTTCAACAAAATGTGATATATATTTAATTATATTTGGATGATTTAATTGCTACAAAAAGAAAACAAAATTCCATATGAAGTTAATTAAAACGAGCATAAATATATGGAGAGAGAGAAAGATTAATATACTTGAAGTAAAATTATTTCACGTTTGCAATCTTCAATTGCTTTAGAATCAGCCATTCGGCTTAACTAAAATAAATATATAATTTAATATAAATTTTATCTAATAGAAAAAGAAAAAACAACAGATTTCATTATATTCGATCATATGAATGTAATTTCATGCAAAATTTTTATATTAATCAAATATTTTACAAAAAAAAAACAAAATCAATTCAATGAAATCTTTCAATTTTATGTTTTGATCTTTCGAAATCTGTTATATTGCTAAACAGAATTATTCAAATAATTTTCTTACTTCAACTTTTTTTAAAGCAACATAAACACCAGTAAAACGATTTCGAGCAGAATAAACAACAGAAAAATGTCCATTACCAAGTGTTTTAAGAATATCAAAATTTTTTAATGCTCCATATGGATCTGATCCTGCTTGCGGAGGCACTGGACCAAGAACATTAGTTTGAATACTCATATCTATAAAAGAACACGAAAAAAAGAAATTTAAGTTTTCTTCATCATTTCATTTATTTAAACATCAAAAATGCAATGAATAGAAAAGAAAAAAAATTCTCTTAAGATAATGACAAAAAATAGGAATATATATATTTATATATATATATCTGTATATAATGCAAATGTTTGTATTTTATAAGATAAAACATCTTTGTTCTTTTTATTTCACTGCATTTCACTAGTAGAATTGAGAATAAATCGAACTAAAATAGCAAATGCAACTATAAATATGATAATCATTATATTACTAATAAGACTATTTAACCAAGATGTTGATGTTGAATTATTATTATTATTACTATTTGTTGTTGTCGATGAAATAAATAATTGTTGTTCTTGATTGAAATTATTCATAAGAGATATATTTGATGTTCTTTCAATTAATATTCGTTTTATTTCTTCAGTTATATCAGGAAATAATTCACAAAATACAGGATCTCGAATATTATATGATAATGAATCAGATGCATATTTACATTTTTGTGCATAACTTGTTTGAATACTGCCAAGTGTAGCACTTGTATCACACATAAAACTTAAAAAACCATTTAGAATTGATGAAATTGACCTAAAACAAAAGAGAAAAAAAAATGCTGTTTATAGTGATGAACAAAAATCTCCCACACTGCTGTATTTCATCTACAATACATTCTTGAAGACTGAAAATTGGTGCAAATACTAACATTAAGAATGTCGTTCAGAAGTACACGGAATCGCTCCGATTGCTTAGATACAAGAAGAGTTATGATGAAGAATGCTTATTGTTCTTTCAAACTTTTAGCTTGAAAATGATTGTCTAGGAAATTTTTGTTTCATTTAATCAATAAATAATTTGATCGAAGATTGTTGTCTCTACATATTTTAATTCAATTCACTGAACTATTACTGATTTATGATGTTCAAAAGTCAGCAAATAGTTCTTGCTCATTCGCATATTCATGAAACAATAAAGAAGTTGACCCACAAACTTCTTCTTTTTTAGTGTTATCAAGCTGAACTGATAGATAGGTACGATCCATTGTAATTCTCGTTCTATTTAATCAATCGAGATAAGTTCATATTACAGACCGACATTCTTAATGAAATATGAGTACACAAAATTTCTGATCTATAGAATGTATGCTAGTCTAGAAAGACCGAAAATGGGGAAATTGTAGTCTACTAGTGTATTTTTGAAAAAGAAAAATTAAAATATCTACCAAGATGGATTCCATGAATCTGGATGATATGATGTTATTGTTAAACATAAACTTTTATTTATTTGAAATCTTCCATTTGGTGTTAACATAAATATACCTTGATTAAATAAATAATTAATTGTATTAATAAAAAAATAAATCTTACTTGGTGGTTTAAATGGATATTCAGATGGAAAAATAATTTTTCCTTGATAAATACCACCTTCATAAGGTGTATCATGTGGTCCACGTACAACAAATCTCCATTCTAATAAATTTGATGATAATGGTTGAGCTGTTAAATATGGTATTGGATCTTTAATTAATCGACGATATTCAACTTGAAGACGTTGAAATGCTGAATTTGATTTCATCGACATTTTAAAAATTTATAAATAAAATAAAACGAATGTTAACTAATTGAAAATCTATGACAGATAAAGAAAAAGTATTTTAACGAGAATATTTTCTTTTCCGTAATTGTTTTCTTGTCTAATCGGAACGGAACTCGTCAACGGCTGAAATTTTGCCGAGAACAATGTGTCACCATTTTTTTTAAATGAATCCATATTCACCTCTAAGACTGCCAATCATGATACATTAGAGGTCGCTTTATTCCCCATTTTCTCATAGTCAGGATCTACCCAACTCTTTACACTTTGAAGAATACAAAAGATATTTTCTTCGATGTATTTATGTGCTTAAATCAATACTAGATTTCTAATATGTTGTTCTGTATATACAATACCATTGTTCATCGTTTTGAAAAAGAAAATTGTTTTTAAAGTGAAATCTCTTTAATGCAGACACCATTAGAACCAGCTAAAATTGGTTACTTTTTAAAGCTGCTTATTATTGAGAAGTTTATAGGTTCTTTTTTTCAACTTACAAGTATAGAGTTGTAATTACGTATTGGATGCACTAGATGATTTTTTTTTCTTCTTTTCAACAATCAATTAATTCAACTTTTTTTAATCGAAAGTGAGTCAATTCATATTGACATAAGTTGATTTTACTACTTGTTAACAAGAAAAAGAAATAAAAAGAGGTTATACCGAGGACTGTTGCTGTTGTGCAATATTTGTTTTCTGTTCTTTTAAATAATTACGCCTAGTCTATATCATTTTTCTATTTTGTCTCATGTTTGTTGATCATAATGTAATATATATATATGCCATCATTTTCTTTCGCTCTACAATTGAGAGATAGAACAGTATATGAAACTCAAAAAGATTTTTCGATATTTTCACTACTGAAAGATCAAATTCATACTTTGCAAAATCATAATCAATCGAAATTTCCGAGAATCGATTGTTTAGACTTTGAAATTTGATCACACTGATGAATTTAATATCATTTATCTAAGTGAAAATTTGTTCATTAGTAATAAAAAAAAACTCACTTTTGTGCTAATTTTTTTTTAAATAACTAAACGACTATCGAACACGCCTTATGACTTTATTAAGAATTTTTTGGTCGTCGAAGATGATGACATTTGTAATAAATGTTCAAAAATGAAGTCTTTTTTTCTCAGAAATATCATTAAAACTACGACTAGTGATACCAAAATATTCAAATGCTCCTTGATATTTTCAACCAATGACAAGTTTCGATCAGGTGCAATATTTCCGATTTCCTACAATGGTTTGGAGTGCAGCTGACGATGCTAATGAAAAAAAAGATAGAATGTTAGTTCTCATCTTATCAATTGTCATCACAATAGACTCGTCCTATCAATAATTATGAATTCATTCTATTTTTGATAAATAATACAAAGTATCTTGTGGTTTGAAGTATTAATGATTATTTCTTCGAGCTTCCGAGAAATAAGAACTCTTTTAGGCACAATATTATGTATATTTTTTTTTTTGTTATTTTGTACAACGTTTCATACCGACAAAAACTTGATTTCAAATAGTAATTTTCTAATATAAGCCATTATCCTTTTTCACTTTGCTGATTTTAGAAGATCAAAGACAAAGTCTTATCATGAAGAAAAGAGAGTTTAAAATGCATCTTGATTATATTTATTTTCAATAAAATGAATCATATACACTGAAAATGAAACACTTCTGTCGTATACACAATGTTAATTAAACAACAACAGCAGGATAGCCAGGTTCAAATGTAATTGTTAGTCGTTTACGATAAACATGTCGAAAATAAAATTCAATATCCAATCGTTCATATTTATTATTCACAAAGATTTTCGTTTCATGAGATACAGTTTCATTCATAATATTAGCTACATTTAAATAATTTTCAATCGTTTTTGGTAATTCTTTTCCTATATATTTATACCATCCTTCTAATCCATGACGATGTTGTTGTGATGGTACAAATAAAGGATGTTTGTCAATAATAAATGATTCATAATAATCAGGATGGCATGGATTACAGAAACGAAATGAATAGACTCTTTCATCATGGATCATTCGTCTATCAGCTGTATATAACCAATAGAGTGAATTACTTCGTATGCAATCATAAAACGTTGCGTTATCATTTAATAAATGATTATTGATATGACCAGCGAAAGGCACCTTTCTTATATTGTATAATAACTCATCAAATAACAGTGTCTTGAATTCGATCAAATATTCATCATCAGGATCATTGTACTCTTCTCTGTCTAATATATATTTACATGATTGTTGTTTATAATAATCTTTTTTTCGCATGTGCTAGTATTTCTCTTTGTCGATACGAATGAAACAATGAACTAGTGAAATAGTTTATAAAGGCCAAAAAAGGGAGAAGCATGTCGTCGTTGGAAAAATCCAATACAAAAGAATAAGACAAAATAGAAAAAATTGTTGTATTAAACTTACGTTCTTTTTAAGGAAAGAAAAGAAGCAATGACACATGTTGGAGTCACTCTCATGCAAGCATACCTCGAGAAACAGAAAAAAAAAATAATTCTCTTTTCTTCTTCAAGGCAATATATTAATAATAATTTATTTTTCGGAAGTTTTTTTCTGCTGAATTATTTATTAAAAGAGTACGCGACATCATATTAAAAAATGAAGAAAATAATATCATAAAAGAAATATTTATTATTAGAATATAGTTTTATCCAAATATATCAACAGTTATTGATCAATTGAGATTTTTTGTTCAGAACTTTTGCTGCCTTTTCTTCATCACAGTGTTGATCATTGGAAGTTATTTTAATAAAACATACTTATACTGATGCATCGAGTTTAGTTATACTTTTATGATGCAATTTACTAATTACACATTTAAAGAAGTTTTAATTTTTAGAGCATCAAATATAGACTATTGATAAAGTTTATTCAAGTATAAAAATCTTGTTCAGTTCAATATTCATAATAAAGAATTCTCTGTCCAATTTCTCAGTGAAGTGTAGAATTTGTTCATTCGTTACGCGTTTTCAACTAAACCTATAGTCTAAAGGTTTTTATTCTTACCTCTATATTCAGATCCGAGAATAAAATATCTATAAGAATATGAATGATAAACACTAGGATTAATTCACAACTTAATTTATTTTTAATTCATTCAAAAATCGAACAAAATCCATGCTTATAATTTTAATCAATTGTTTTTCGACAGTCATATTTAGCAAAAATTCATTAATTGAATGACTATTAGATAAAATACTTAAAAAGGAATCGATAATGAAAGAGGTAAGAATAATAGTATTCATTTTTTCAAAATACAAATATTTTGTATAATTTATCATATTGTCAATTAACTGATCTGTAATCACTAAATTTTAGTTAAAATTATTACTAATTAAAATGTTTTTGTGTATTAGTCTTTGTGATGGTTTTTATTTGATTTCACAAGTTTTCTCAATATATATATTTTATTTTATTGAATGAACCTATCAAGATTAAAATCATATTCTATGTACAAACAAGATTTTAATCTACTAATATCCATGTTATTGCAAAATATTTTTCCGTATATTGAATTCCCGGATGTGATGTTCCACTAATTGGTATAAATTGAATTTCATCAATATCATTCCAATCCAAATTAAATATTTGAGATGTATCATATTGAAGAACGATTGTTGTTGAATAAAGATCTTCTTTGACTCGTCGTCCAATTAATTTAACTTGAAGATTATCAAGCCAAGCAGAAGTTGCTTCAAAAGAAATTAATGAAAATGTATCTTTATCTCGTCGTTTTGAACAGATACTCATAGGACCCTCTTTTCCATTAAAAACAATACATACATGACCATTTGTAAAAGCATTTTCCCATCCACTATGTGCATGATTTGCTTTAACCCATTGTTCATGCATATACCATACATTTATCCATTTTAAACCTTCATAGGATTCTGATAATGTTCCAGAATCAACTTTTTTATCGATTTCAAAAAGTTTATCAAAACTTATCATTCGTCTGCTTGGCTTTTGAACTATAAATACAACAAGAAAAAAAAATCAGAAACGTTGTGAACACAATTTCTTTGGGAATATCTATATGCACTATTAAAATGTGTCTGTAAAACAGAAAAAAAAAAACATGTTCATTTTACTAAATGACGATACATATGAGAAGGAAAACAGGCATATTTAATCTGCAATATTCGCGCCAGAATTAAAGAAGGGTTGATGTAAGTGCAATAACTTGATAGCGGTAATAGCTAGTGATCTGCGCTTTTCACCAATTGAAAGATGAGAGAGATCGGAATATTATTTCTTCCGATAATGTATAAGACGAAATCCTTTTAAAACTGCTCATCTTCGAAAAGTATGAAAAGGACTTGCCATCTAGATGAAATTTTGATTTTGACCTTTGATTTAGACAAGAAATTTCGCTCAATTTTTACTACGTTTTCGAACTTTTTATAAGAATAGCTTGACACCTCGATGAAAATGTAATAAAGCATATTGTATCTTGAACTATAGACTGAAGTCTCTCTATCAAAATCAAAGGTCAAAATCAAAATTTCATCTAGATGGCAAGTCATTTTCATGCTTTTCGAAGATAATCAGTTTTAAAAGGATTTCGTCTTATACATTATCGGAAGAAAATACATTCCTACCTCTCCTCTTTCAATTGGTGAAAATCGTAGATCGCTAGCTATTACTGTTATCGAGTTTATGCACTTACACCAACCCCTTTTTTAATTCTGGAACGAAAATTAGTTTCATTTCAAAAGTTGTGAGAGATACTCGAAGAATATGGTATAGAGAGGAAATAAATTTCTCGCTGTACAGTTGCATTATGGTTCATCAACACTAACGGGAGAATCTTTTCAGCCTTGTTCCTTCTGAATATTCAATGTTTTTTTTCCTGTAGGTATAACATAGTGTTCTTATGAACGCCCTAAAATGAGTTCGATTTCTATTAATATTTGACTAAGGTACCGAATTGTTAATATGTTTATTTTGTAGAGGCGGCACTAGCTTTCGAAAAACTCGTTTTTTAGGAATTTTGATCTGAAGTTTTGCACATATAAAGAACTTAGTTAAACTAATTTGCATGAAAAAAGGTCAAAAGTTTTGAATAAAGTTTCTTGGATATATGAGATTTTCAAAATATAGATACTTTTTCATGGACGATGTATACAATATGCATTTGCTTTTGAAAGCTTCACCTTTGAAAGAGACGTTCTTGAAAACTTCTGAATTTTTTTTTATAGAATCTAGTCTAGTTAACTTTTCTATATACGCAAAGTTTCACATGAAAATGTGATATTACAGGGTTTTCTCAAAAATCTAGAGACTCTAGGAAAAAAATTCGATAGGTCAGTCAAATCTTAATATGAATCAAAATTCTTTTAAAGTTTTAATAATATATATAAGTAGCAAAATAAGAGACAAGTGAAATATTTTTCTCGTTAATCTTCTTCATACAATTCTATTATAGATTGACCTGCTGTTTGTAAAGTTTGTACTTGATTTGTTAGAAATTGAACTTGTTGTTCAAGTTGTCGATTTGTATTAATAAGTGAATTTAAGACTGGTCTTAATTGTTCATAACTACAATCGATAAGATGATTTTGAAGTTGATCACGTTGACCAGACCATGGACATTTTATATCAGATGCTGAACAAACAATACTTCCTTTTGGACATATTTTCGTAATATGATCATTAAAATTCCCACGTTGAATTCCAGTTTGTCCACATTGAAGACATTTAACAAGTAATTTATCAAGAATATTTAATATTAAACGAGTTGTAACTGGTTTTAAATTATTAATTGATAAAGGATGACGACATGCAGGACATGATGAATAACCTTCATCTAACCAACGTTGAATACATACTTGACAATAACTATGATCACAAGATGTTGTTATTGGTTGTTGAAATGGTTCATTACATATTAAACATTTATAGTTTTCATCAATCGATGACTCATCAACATATTCATATTGAATATTCGACATCTGTCAAAAAAACAAAAAAAAACAAATCATATGAAGTAGATTTTACCATTTGCTTTTTCAATTAATAAAAATATTTATTTCGTTTGACTTACAAATTATTTCCATAGGAATTAAAAAATAAAAAATAAAGAAAATTTATTATTGTAATCGTATATAAATAAATATATATGTATTGGTTTGTTTTGTATTTACTTTTAATTGATTTTGATGTTTCTTTTTCTTCGAAAAAGAAAAAAAAAGAAAAGGAAGTAATACTTTTTCTATTTGAAACAATTTTTAATTTTTGTTAAAAATAATAGTAACAAAAGAATACTAATTATCATAATAACGAATAAGAAACAATATTGAAAAAAAAGAAAAGGATTGAACTATTTCGAAATTCAATTTCATTTACTTTAACAGTATTTTGAAAAAATAATGATCTCACCTTTTGAATTTTGTTGATTCTACAACGTGTTGGACTTTTGTCGATGAATTTTTCTGTTCTTTTTCATCTTGTCCGAATAACACGTGAAACAAAAGAACATTATTTGTCTTCTTTTCATAGTTACTCAAATATTTACGTAAAACATAAATATGTAATAAATGATATATTCATCCTAATACTACAAATATATAACTATAGAAACGATTATTATTCTTATTTTTAAATAATAAACGCTAAACACTTAATCAATTCTATTAGAAACTATACCAATACAAAAATTGAATATAAATTAGGAGATGTAAAGCTTAATTTTTTGCCAGAATGACTCATCGTCCATAGAAAATATTCAACTTTAAAATGATGTCGATTTTTATTAACGAGAAAAGTTTTCCAACTGTTTAATCGAGACTATGCATATTATGTAGATTCAAATGAACTATGAGTATTCATGTTCTTAACTTATTGCTACAGAAATATTTCATTTTCATATTAATTTTTAAATAAATATCAGTTTGAAAATATAGGAATAATAGTTTTAAAAAGCAATCAAACAGATTCAATTAAATTTATGTAAGGAAAAGTTGAAATATAATAACTTTTTTTTCTACAATTACTTATTCATTTTTCTTTCTTTCTATTTAGTTAATACGCTTTAGAAAATTATTTTCTTCTTTTAATTATAAAAATACAAAAATAAAGTTTTTCCCTAAGTACGAACATTGATTATTTAGATTCCTATAAATTGGTTTGAAACTATTGACTAGCATTCGGATGATATCAATGAATTTTTTAAATAGATTAATCATTAATTCAAATGATAAGAAATAAAAAACAAAAATTTTCAAATAATAATTTTTAATTTCAATATGTTTTTACATACTGCAAATATTGAACAGCATTGAGATGATTACTATTTTTAAGTAGTCATTCATTGAACAAGTTATGATTCGATTTAAAATATTTCTTTTCCAATTTAAATTAATTAAACAATAATATCAATACTTTTTCATATATTTCCGTTAGAACTCTTATTTATGTTGTTTATGAATTGGAAACCACAATATATATGACTATTTCATCTAATTAAACTATATTATCTTCTGCTTAATTGCAATGACACACGACAAAAAAAAAAGAATTTGACAGTTAATTTTATCAAATTAAATGAAATCTATTTTATCTTTATTTATTAGAATTAGCTACATGAACATTTAAGTTCTACAAATAATTTTTATAGTGTTTCAAATATTAATCCATTATTATTAATACTTCGAGTAAATTAAAACTATTGAAGACTCACATTACATCATAGTAAAGAAAATTTGAAGTACAGAACCAATGCCGGTCGTAGCTACTGGAACTGTGACCAGGAACATACTAGATTCATTGTAACTACAATTGGGAACCGCTCAAAAAGAAGTTATCGGGATAAAAAAAAAACCTTGATTCCGTACACGTCTAGTTATGATCGGTTGACATAATTAAAATAAAATATTTAACTGGAAACTATATGATCATTTTTTATTTTATTATGAAAAAAGAAGAATTTTGGTTTTCACAATAAAACATGTTTTGTACTTAATATAACAAGAAAATTAGTTTTTGATGAATTATATTTTGTTACAGAATTGCAAAAAAAGTTCCAGAAAATCGAAGATGATGTATATGTTGTCTCATGTGTAGTTGAGTACTTATCTAAATATATCGATTAAGTTCATTGAGAAATCGGTAATGATTTTTATTGCACAATTGACAAAATATAAGTGATGATTAATATATTTTGTTAAACTATTTGTAAATGTTTGCATTACACTATAAGTAAGATCTTTAATATATTGAGTAAAGATGAATTTTTTTAAAGAAAAAAGTCTTTCAATAGATGGCTTGAAGAGACAAAATTATTTCTAGGGATGGACCAATTCTAATTCTAGACTTGAAATTAATCAGAATTACATTTAAACATCCTTAATTGTATGTAATTAATGAGTACATCTCCTTCAAATAATTCATGAAATAAAAGTTTGATTTATTTATTTTTTAGATCTTTTTTTCTTTTCACCTTCTCGTTATATTTGGTTTGATTTAATCTTAAGAAAGAAAAATAAATATCATAAGTTGAATTAGTTAGATAAGACACACTTTTTTAACTAAACCAACCGAAAGAAAACAAATAGTTTATTTAGTAAAAATACAATATTTATTTAATAAGAAGAAAAAAGGTAAATCGAGAATGATCTTCTCCTTTGTTTTAGAAGATGTATATGGAAAAAATGTGCCTAGATTCATTTAACACAGAAAAGAAGAGATCGGCCAATAAATAAATATATCGACGAAAGGCTAAATTAAACAAGAACAAATAGAAAAGTGAATGTCATGTGGTTATATATTTATAGTGATTGCAAAATAATCTCTATTCATTTATTATGAAGCAGAACTTTTTCAATTCTTTATTATCAATTATAAATCAAGAAACAATCAACTCATTAGAAAAACCCTATCTAATAAAATTGTAGAAATTCTATTAATTTTCTATAAATATTAAACAATTGTTATGATAGAAAAATCCTCGTATGATCTTAAAATAAAACATACACATATCGATCATTAACGAAGAAACTATCTCAACTGTATAATTCGTCGTTTTTGCAATCATATTGGATCAACAAGAAGGTTTAGGTAAGACTAGAAAAACCGTCAAATGGGCCGGATCTATGATCTTGTAGACTCGAGTTTTGTCCTGATTTTTTTAAAATATTTACTGCACAAATCAAATAACAGAATATCGATTTGATGATCCTTAGAATATCTTGAAAGTTTCAGCCAGAACGAATGTTTATTTATAGAAATATTAAATTTCCAACACTTCGTCGCTTGACACATCAAGATATTTGCACAAACATAAAATCGTTTGATGGACAAAATTGTAGATTGAAATTCTGTTATTTAATTTTTTTTTTTAATGAAGAATTAACAATGGATAGAAAATTTAATAAAACGGTCATAATTGATCTCATCAGCATGAACTTTTGTAAGATTTTTTTGAATCTTACTGATAGTTCCTTGTACGTCCAAGATGAATTTGAACGACGAGTTATACTTCAGATAGTTTCTTCGTAAATGTATATTTTATAATAATATTTAAGAGGCATAGAATAAGTTCTAAAAAAAATAGTAATAGTTACAGAAAAAGATTAAATGTAAAATAAAAATTCTTTCGAAGTAGAAAATAAACAAAATCAAAAAATTTTGATATGAGAACGATATTCAATCGATTGAAACTAACTTAGTGATAGAAAAATTAATTATTAAATCCAATGGAAGATAATATGAAATCAAACAATATTAATATTAAGGAAAAAACATCTATAGAATCAAAAATTTATTATTTAATAAATAAAAATTAAAATAAATGATTTCTATTATGTTGTAGAATATAGTTACGATTAAGTTTTTTGGTTTTTATATTATGTTTATATTGAGATAAAACAAAAAACAAAAAAATCTGATTGTATTAAAAATAAACTTTAGTTAGCGAATGAAATTTATTAAAACTTTGACCCTATCAAATAATTATATGGTTGTTTTGGTGTCACTGATCACCACTTTTGATTATGTTTAATGTATTAATCATTTAAATAATATTCGTTTGTTGGGTATCTGTGACATATGAGTACGATTACACGAATAATATTTTGTTATTATGAGTTTAATCTCATTCATTGATTGGTGATCATTGTACTGTAGACAATTTATTCTTTTTTTTTTTTTTTTGATGTTAATGTTTCTTTTGGTGATGATGTAAAAGTGCGTTTTGTGTGCGAACAATATTTTACCTACGTCACACATCAATTATTTTTAAGTAAATAACATTTGTCTGACCTTGACTCATTCTTATATATAAAATGTGATTTGATGATAATAAAGTTTAGATAAGCAAATTATTCTTCAATCGATATCTTCTCCTATATGAAAATGTTTGATACAGGTAGTAAAATAATAATATATTTTTCATTTAACATAGCTTATGAATATATTCTTTTTGAAAAAAAACAAAAACAAAAAGAAAATCTTCTATTAATTTTATATTTTGTTTCAATTAGCTATTGTTTATAATATTGAAATATAGAAAACAAAACTCTAAAGTTTGCATGTTTTACGATCTTCTCATTAAAATGACTTGTAGACATAGCGTCCATCTTGAAAAAATTTAGCCGAAAGTCGTTAATCGATCGATCGTTTGCCGACTCTATATAAACATGTTTATTTCTTTCAATCATTCTTCGCTAAATTTTTTTTTCTTAAAGTGCACTAACATACACACACACATATATATATATTATATATACCCTTAGTTTCCGTTCACCTTCAGAAATCTAAAATATAATTGCTTTTTTTTAGAAACGAGTACGAGAACAACAGCAACATTAGTAAGAAGAACAGGCATCAATAAAGTGCCATCAAGCAAAGAATCAATCAGAAAATCATCGAATAAAAGTTGTTCGTCAAGTGAAATAATTCCTCTTACTGACGTTAACAAGACGAAGAAAAATTTAAACGACAATATTCAAGAAAA